ATAAATGTATTTGGAACTGGATAGGTCTATGTTTTATGTTCTTTCACGATGGTAGGGGCTGTGCCCTCACTACTATAGCCTATAGACTGATGGACAATTTGTGTCCTGTCATGATGGTCATAATCCTCAATGCCTTTTCTCACCCTGGATCTACCCCCTGGGCAGTACTACTGACTGAAGTGTCTTTAGGCCATTCCCAAATGGGGGACATTACTATGTTCTTGTGCTCAGTAGAATTGTAAATGGGCTGATTCCTCAATGTCATGCTCATAACTGTGCCTGAACTGCAAAGGGGAACTGCTGCTTTTTGTTTCGTAATCCTTACTGTTGTCATTTTTCCTCTACTTCTTTTATATGTTTGTCATACACTTGTGACCCGCTATTTCCAGAGTGCCTTGATAGTCGAAGCAGACTTTGTGCTGTTGAAGCTAGAGAGGTGAGCTGCAGAGTAAGCTTGATCCCCTGTAAGGACGTCTCTGTTCACATCTACCCCTTGGCGCTCATATGATCTTATGCAGTTGCGAGCACCATAAAACCCCTACTAAAACTAAACTAAAACTACTACAGACCATAGACATTAATGTTTGTGCAGTACTAGTGGACATTTTCTGTCCTATCATGATGGTCTTCATCCTCAATGCCTTTTTTTTCACCCTGAATCAGGATATAGCGGTCCTATCAGAGACGGACTTTAAACTAGGAGGTCCCGCCCCATAAATAATCTAACAGTGTTGATAGGGGCGTTAAACCCATACCATTTTTTTTTCAGGATATAGGCCAGGAACATTTTCCACCTATCCCTATCCTGGGCTAGCCTCATGATGTTATTCCTTGTCTTCCCAATTTTCTGTACCTCAATTTCTGTGACTCTTCTGCAGGTTCCACTTACTCTTCCTCTTGCTTGATCTTTTACCCTACTCAGTTTGAGACTGTCATATATCAGTGGGTGGTTTGCGGGTGCTCTGGTGGGGTTTACTCCTTCTTTCCTATCACACAGCTATCATCTTTATCTCTCCTTATTTTTTATGTTTGTTACTCTCTTGTGACACCTCTAATCTTCTGCCCTTATATGACCTTCTTGTGTTGCAAGTGCCGTAAAACTCTTACTTAAAAAACACCTGTATACCACTTTTCAATACGGCGTGTGGCGGAGTCTGACACAAAGCAGTCTGCGTGTTTTGTGCCGTATCAGTCATATGTTACCTGTCCTTCAAGAAGAAAGGCACTGCTCCCTCTTAGCAGACCATAGCAATCTGTCCTGTGTTTTATATCCTACATTTCATGTCCTGTCCGACAACCAAAATGACATGTGAGGCAGCGTGGTGGAATCAGGCTCTCATCAATTTTTGGGCATGTAGAGTTATTGGTATCATCTTAAAGCTTGTTCACTTGTCTGTATTTCAAAGAAAAAAATATCCATTTATCTTGAATACAAGTCGATACATTTGCAAATGAGGGAGGTGGGGGAAACCTGTTTTCAGAGGTAAAATTAGTGAGAAAATGGCCGCCAAAGATTAGTTATTTCCTTAGCTTAAGAGTCCGTGGTTACTGAAAATTTACATTTTTTGGGGCCTTTAATTAACGTTTTTCAGAAAAAATCCACACAGAAATGAGTTCTTTAATAGGCATGAAAGATGTTGAGCCAAAAAAGAAAAATTTGATAAACATTCACAAACCTGGGGAAAAATGCAAGTTTCTTCACTTTGATTATTTTGACGAGAGCCTGATTCCACCACCTGATTCCACCACGCTGCCTCACATATGTTACTTGTCCTATCAAGAAGAAAGGCACTGCTCCCTCTTAGTAGACCATAGCAATCTGTCCTGTGTTTTATATCCTACATTTCATGTCCTGTCCGACAACCAAAATGATATTACGCTCAGTTTTAATTCCACTTTTTGGTATGGAGGTGGCTGATTGATGGAATTATGAAGAGTGCCACTGGCATGTCTTACTTTTTTCCTCTCCCTAAATTATTTCTGCCTTTTGTTCTTGCTTCTCCTTGAGGTAAACAGCTGTCACTATGTCAGTGAGCTTGCTTCTCTTTACAAAAGTTGGAACTAAAAACTGCAAAACGAGTGACTGTTTTGTTTTGGAATGTTTTTCTTGTGACCTCTAGGAGCTGGACGACGATGAACTGAAGGAACTGACGGAGAACGCGGTGGCAATGTCTGACGACCTTGACTTCAAGGACGACGGCTACATCGAGCTGGTTCTCAGAGTGCTGGGACTTATGTGTGACAACCAGAAGAAAGGACTACAGGTACTTTTTTTTTCATGTAGGCGTTTTTACACCCCCATCAACTCAATTTAGACAACCATCTAGGAGGTTGGCTTCTGACCCTGCCTGTTAGGGCCAACCCAAGCTGAAAAGTATACATACAGCATCCCAAGGGAAAGTCCATAGATAATAATATTCCCCTCTCAGGAATGGAACTTGGGTCTCGTGTTTGAGACAGTGAAGTGCCATTTTGCTACACCACTGTCACCAGTATTTCAGGAACTTCAATAACAATTTATGATGATGATAAAAATGATAATAAACAGTGTTTGTATAACAAATATCCACAGTCAATGGCAAGCTTTAGGTATATTTCTGTAGGGTGTTGGTAAATAACTGCGTTGTGCTAAACCCTGTAACATTCTCTGCTCCAGTCCCCCCTC